CAGATTGAACCAAATTTTCTATACTGTTTCTCTTTCTAATCAAGTATTTTGGACTGTTATTGATGAGGTGACCTTTCTACTTGTCAAACAGCATTAATCAAGGCGCAGTTCGGCTTGGTGGGGCAGCAAATAAATTTTGGCGGAGCTAGTCAAGGCCACCTTGTGGAGGCCTATGAATTCTCGTGACCAAAGTGTATCACTTTTTAGCAGCTGTACAAGAATTTACAGGTTCACCAAAGTGTGGCCTGTTAATCAAATTGGACTAGCGAGAAGAACTAGCGGTGCTAAATGCAGCCCCCCCCCTCCACAAGCTGAACAGCGCCCCATTCGAATCTGTTCCTTCTTTCTAAATTCAGATTAATTCCAGGGATCGAGACCGGTCGTGATGTACGTGAACACACTCTACGTTGAACAGAAACCAAAGCAAGAGTCACATCAAAAAGCAGAGTTGTTAAATAAATTATTACCGATATTAGGAGTGTATTTATCCCAGAAAAATGCGTTAAAAAAATATGCGTCATTTCTTAAGAGTGCGAGCAGTGAAGAATATATTTGAAATATTAGTATAGTAATAGTAAGAATAGCACACTCCAAATCTGACGACGCCAAAATACCCTAAATTATCAAATTTGCATGAAACTTATTCCCAGAAGTAGTTTGACCTCTTGGACACACATGCTTTGCCCGAGTCAGCCCAGCAACCGCGCCACAACCGCTGCCGCCAAAAAATGGTAATGTTTGGCCCCTGTAATTCAGATTCACCCCGAAAATGCTCTTAAAGGCGATGAGCCAGCGAAAAGTTCGTACGTGGGTTCTGCAGTGCGCAAGGGTCTGTTGTAATGTTGGTTAGAAAATGGACTCGTCTTGAATAAAAACAACCAGTACTTTGCTATGGATGTAAAGAGGACTGTGGTGTTTCGAGGCCCAGCGTACGTGACATTTTACAAGTTAGTTTGGTTTCCGAACAACGCTCTTCTAAACTGAGTATTCTTTAGTAGTAGTCTAAATTCCTGCCCTTCTACTACTCCCCGGAACAGGCCACTCCCTGCCACTGGGGAAAATTCTGGCAACTTACGACCTCGCCTTAATCCAAGAAACCGAAAATATTAGGTTGTTCGAAAAGTAATGCGACACTTTGATTGAATTGTTCTAGAAAAAGACCAAAAATCATTTTGGATGTTTTTATCCCTGATTAGTGGAGACTGTCCTCTGGGGTTTCTGCACATGGGTATATCATGACTTTGTGGAAGTTTTCAAAGCTTAAAGTCCCTCAGAGATCGAGGTACTTTTCGACCTATCCCATATTATGAGTTCCTGTAGGGCCACTCCGCCGTAGTCGAGGAAGCTAACACTTACGTTGTCTTGAGGAAGGATATCGCTTGCCATGGCAGAGGGTAGCTTTTGCATCAGCGCTTCCAGGCTGGACTTATTTAACTCGTAGTTAGGCAATGTATAGGTCGCCCACCAGCACAGAATGACGGCCCTTTACTCAAGCTTCTTGAGGCGCAGCCGAAGGTAACCACCAGTAAGTTGGCAACCTCTCTAGGCTCCACCTGACTGACAACTGCCATGCTTCTCCGCAATCTCGGTTATCGGAAAATTTTTTTGTGAAGGATGCCTCATGAGTTGGACCCGTCTGACAAGTCATACCGAATGACCGTGACTGAGTTTTCTTTTCCTTGTACACAGCGAAAGAACTTTTGTGAGATCTTGTGGTTGGTAGCGAGTGTTGGAGTCCTTGCGTACATCATGCACATGTCCCTCGCAGGATCTCTCGAACAGAAAATGGATTTGCTTAGCCAAAACAAGATATGCATTTTAGGATAAAGATTTCAGGTGTTTATTGGTGGGAAACTGCAAAGCGGTATTCAGCTGATACCTACACCATTCTAAGGACCACAGTCCACCTCTCTACTCCAATATGGTGATGACCCACTCTTGAATTCATTCAGAAATACTCAATTTTTCTCTACTACTCGGCAATGCGAAGAACCGCATGTGGGGACCAGGCTACGCCAATGGATTTCGATCAGAGAATGCGACCGCGTACGCAGGGTAAGAGGAGTAGCAAGTCTCAATCACCACCTCCTTCGGTCCCTGATCGCTTCCTTTAAAAAGTCAAAAATTCCGAAAACGACCTCACTGAGGACCATCTCTTCTTTTATCATAGTTGGCCGTTAGTTCTGTGACAAATGGAAATGAGAAGCTGTGCAAAAGAAGGGCAATAGTCCTACTCATCAACCGCGGTTACTTTGTAGATTGGAGATGTCTTTTAAAGACGGAAAATTTAGTCCGAAAAAATTGGTCAAAATGTCGCATTACTTTTTGAACAACCTAATAGTAGTCGTATAGTACTTTGGCGGCCACCAACTAAGGGATATACCTTTTCACCGTCTCTGAGCTCAGCCCCTCAAGCCAAATTCATCATTTTGCAAACCAAATGCACCACCTTTCGAATCAACTTTACCATTTTTCGAACAACCCAAGACGTATTGTCTGTGCCTCTAGACACTACTAGCCCCGCCCCTACAGACACGCCCACATTTCAGCGTGGTCGTTAATTCTCGAATTTTATTTTATACATCCTGCTTTTCCCACATTTGCGCTTTTATTATTCCGCACATACACACCAGCTGAAAAAGACTGTACATATTATCATGGGAAACTCCGCACACCACTCACTAAAATTTGTCGCTTTTACAACTTTCTGCGGAATTCCAGAATTTTTTCGAAAATTCTGCATATTTGGACTGCTACGGCCCGGTTTCACTACAGGGAGCTCCAGTCACTTCAAAAAAAGCCAAGCCCTTTTTTCGAAAATGGCACATTTCGGCGAGATAGAGTATTGGCTTACATGCTGGGGTCTCTCCCTATCCCTCGGAACAAGCTTTGGTTTTTCGCTTGCAGTAGTGTCCAGCTAGGCATGGCGGTAAACTGAGTTTGGTGATGTGTTCGCAATGAACGTTGTGTATTCGGTTCGAAAGCATCATGAATTTTTGTTGAAAATGGTATGTATGACCCCACCCGATGGGGAGTCCCTAACAATGCAGATATTACGCATGAAACGGCAGCAATCAACTATGAAAAAAAATAAATTTTTTCAGGTCAAATACCCTTCTCCCTCCACCAACCAACCAACGACATTTCAACTCCCACCTGCTGGGGATCCCAGAACGTTAGACGCGCAAGCAGAGCAACAGAAAGCAGCGGCATCTGGAAGACTTTTACCTTGTATGACCTGCAGAAATGGCCCAACTGCTGGAAAAGCTGCCTTCCATCGGACCGCATCTCGTGTTCGGTCGGTACCAACCTTAGCTGGTGGGATGGGAACTGGATTCAGGCCCGTGCAATTCAGCGGTCAAAATTGCCCTTGATCAGAATTCGAACAAAAATGGGTGCAAGGTGCACTCGTTAAATACTGTCAGTTCTCATAAATCATTTCCATGCAGTGTAAAATGAACAAAACAAAGTTCTTTTCTTACTTAGTAATACAGGAAATACATATAAGAGAATTCATTTGGGCGGGACAAAGACAATCCACTACCCAAGACTACACTTCGGTTCTCACGTATCTTCGCCTTGTCCAACTATGCAGCTAGCAATTCTCCTCATTTTCGCTTCCTTACTCACCCTAACCTCATGCCAACTGGGTCGCCTTCTTAACGCACCTCTTGAGCCAGGTTGGTTTCCTCTATAAATTGCCTTTGCTTAATTTTCTAGTATCGAATGACATCAGTCAGTCTCTTTGGTCAACATGAGGAACTGCTTATTCCTCCAATTCTTACCAGTATTTGTTTTTCCTATTTTTTCTACTCCTTTCCTCCAGTTATGAGCCGTCAAGCATCATTTTAGGTAACCCACCACTCTCTTTCAGTAAGACATCTTAATATAGTTAAATTCACTGTAACTATTCAGGTCCTGCAGTCGCCGGGCCCAACAGCAATCCTGGCGGTTTTGGAGGGCCTCAAAATCAGGGAGGATTTGGAGGTCCTCAAGGTGGATTCGGTGGGAATAGGGGAGGATTCGGAGGTCCAGGCCCTCAAGGTGGATTCGGAGGTCCTCAGGGGCAATTCGGAGGCCCTCAAGGTGGATTCGGTGGGAACCGGGGTGGGTTCGGAGGTCCTCAGGGGCAATTCGGAGGCCCTCAAGGTGGATTCGGTGGGAACCGGGGTGGGTTCGGAGGTCCTCAGGGGCAATTCGGAGGCCCTCAAGGTGGATTCGGTGGGAACCGGGGTGGATTCGGAGGTCCTCAGGGGCAATTCGGAGGCCCTCAAGGTGGATTTCGCGGACCTGAAGGAGGTTTCGGAGATCGAGGTCCTCAAATTCCAACGCCGATAAGAAGGTTCTAAGAAGATCATGAGAGGTGAGGCTTTGCTCTCAATTCTGCTTCCCGTTTTGTTTATTACGCAATTATTTCCGCATCTCAAAGAGTTCTTTCAGGGGGACGAACGCAGTTTGAGGACACTATTTCGACTTCTGTTCAGTTATTTACTGAGTGATATCTAATGATTAGTAACAAATGCTCAAAGGATCGCCCAGCACTGCTGTGGATCGAATGCACCCCGTCGACGAGCTCCTCCGAGCCCAACATTCCGAAATTATTTGATTGAAAAATGAGTTCCCGCCGTTCATTAATATTGATGTTTTACCACAACTATAATAAAGCATTGCTCCACTATGCTGTACTATTACCACTAATTTCTGTTAAACCGCCAATCTTATTATAATCATGATTCCTTTTCCCTTATCGCGCACAGGAACGGTAATTTGGTACTTGCTCACAATTAGCAAGCTGTGCCATATAGCGGGGAAATGACAACAACGCGAAGCTAAATGACCGAAAACCTGTGAAAAAGCTTTGCTTCTGCACGGCACTGAACGAGCATTTTTGGAGGAATTTCCCGTTGGCATCGTTCCAACAACCGCTTTGTAGAAACGACGATAAGAGTACCAACGTCGATGTGACCGTAGGGCTATTTGTGGGCGTACGTCTAGTTCGACATGTTGCACCTTGGTTAGGTGCCATAACGGTGCCCTTGGCGGGAAAAGGCGCCACACAGCGCCCGCTTGGGGGCACACGATTCTTCCGTGCTGGGCGTATCAACCTCGTAAGCCTTGTCGATTTATCTTGCCACTTGATTTTAAAGACAGTTCCCGCGATAAAGTGTCATGGATAGTTGCTGTTCAATTATGAAACAGTAGCTGATAAGTAATTCCCCAAAGAAGAAAAAAAGCAAGAAGAGTCCTCAAGAACACCAACAAAATCGCTCCCTGACAGTCACACCGCCCTGCGGTCTCTGTGCAACCCCTGGCTCACAAATCGCTTTTTCGCATCTCCCAGTAGTGATATCATCCAATGCAAAGAAAAGAATACGAAAACAACAAAAACACCAAAAACTCGGCGTACGAATTTAGGGTTACGGTAGCGTGCATCTTTTAGTGCAGTCGAGCTTTTGCACCAAGAAAATTGCATCACTCGTGATTTTTACTGCGAGATGCGGCAATTGAATGTATGTGCCCCTAATGAATAAAATGTAATAAAGGAGAGCAGAATTACAGTTCTCATCATTGCGGACGGGGCGGCTGAGCCGCGCTGCACTGTGACGCGACAGCGGCTGCGGCTCGGTGACGGCGAATCAGCTGATTTCGATGGAATTCGGCTGCGAATTCCCACTTTTTCAGCTCTTCAAGCTTCGAAAGTGGAAGGTGAGTTATTTTGAACAATTTTAAATTGTACTGGCTCTAATTTCCTTTATTTTTATGTCTATTATTATGCTTTTTTTCCTTGTATTTTGCCTATATTTCAAGCGTTTATTGCATTCTTTTAGATTCGATTCAGAGCCAGTACAATTTAAAATTAGAATAACTCACCTTCCACTTTAGAAGCTTGAAGAGCTGAAAAGGAATTCGCAGCCGAATTCCATGGAAATCAGCTGATTCGCCGTCACCGAGCCGCAGCCGCTGTCGCGTCACAGTGCAGCGCGGCTCAGCCGCCCCGACAGTCCGCAATGATGAGGACTGACTTATGGGCAGGAGCGCGTTCAGCAAAAATGGACATGCTCTTATTAATGCCTGCCGCCCCAAAGAAACAACTGAGCGGTTCTCCGTCACAGGGCATCTAGCAAGTGGGCGGTACAACTGAGTTAGAACTAGAAATTCCAGCGGCTGTAGACGCTCCTCGCCTCCTGTGTATTCGCGAGAGTGGGACATTCTCTTATTCTTGGCTTGACTACTTACACAAGGAAGGACGAGAACTACTTGAGCTGTCTTCAAGTTCCGCCGCATGGGAGGGTCTTCGGTGGACAAAATTGAACTTTTTTCAAATTAAACTTTTTTCACACAGCCATCTTCTTTTTGATTTTTTTTCTGATCGAGAGCAGTCACGTAGTACTGTACTAGGACGCACTCTAATTGACTAGAAAATCAGAGCAGAAGTCAAAATGAAATCCAGCGTCATGGAATAAATTATCATCGGTCCAGAAGCATCCTTCTTACAAAAAATCCCCATAGAAGACGCGTTGTGAAGCACAGTGATTATAAGAGGGATACACTGCAGATCTGAGGGCGGGGGAATTTCCATGTATACAATGACGCCTGTGAGAGTCCAGGCTGAAGAAACTCAGAGATTTGTATGCAACAGAGGGGAGTCGGAGCAGGGATAGGCAGCTGTCGCTCCCTTTTGCCTTCTGATACAGACCGACATAGTCACTGCTTTGTTCATCCCTCTTCAGTGAAGTCTCGCTTTTGACCTCATGACGGTTATTCCTCCATTGATTCCATGCGTATCTCTTTCTTCCCAGAAGCGCGTTGTATCGTAGGAAATATGAAGAGCTCTGGGCCAATTCACCCGGATGCTCCTCTTCCACCATTGGTGACCATGTCGAGGCAAATTGGCGGCCGTAAAAAAGAGACGTTCAAGTCCAAATTATTATAACAATCAGTCATTAATTGATATTCCGTAGGAACTGTAGAAGACAACTGTAGAACGAGCTCAGTTCTGTAAATATCGAAATCTTTCACCCTGTTGGTTGTGGTTTCTTTGTAGTACAGTATTTGCACCGCAAACAAACCAAAACAACAGGGTGAACGATTTTGGCTGGAAACAGGGTGAAAGAATTTGGCTAGGCAACAAGAACACAACGGGCACTGCAGTATAAAAGAAGACTGTTATTTGTCATATCAGAAGGACTCTGGAAACTATTAAGCTATTACTGCCCCACTCCATGATTACAAGTTGAATTTTGATCAGTGAGCCTTTACGGGGGTAGATTTAGCTAGAAGTGCATCTCCGGGAGGACTCTGGCCTGCGAGCACGGATATCGCATCCCCTCGGCTCGTTTGAGCCTAGAGTTCGCCCTAGAACCATTTACACTCGTTGTAGAAGAGGGTAGTTTGACTATCTGAGGACAATTATTCCTTTTCCTAACGGGAAAGTAGTGACGATGGTGCCAAAACTGGTCTCAGGGTCCGCTCCAAGGGCTCTAGCCATTGCCTATGTTAGAAGATTGACATTAAGGGGGTAAGACCACCTCAGCGGACAAAGTTCGGGAAACCTGTTCATGGGGCGAATCTTTGGTCAAAATGTGGTCTGAATTCGCTTAATTGGGCAGTGAAGTGCAAATTGTGGTGCAAGAAGTGCCAGATTCCTAGAGTGGAGAGAAATATCACAGAAAGAATGTAATCATTGGTCAATTCGATGCATTTTCCAGTCAATGATTCCTCGCAACATGATGCCCGACAGTTGTAAACTTTGACTTTTTTCTTCAGGAACTTCCTAAGCGGTTGTTACGAAGTGCTGAAATGGCGATGCTCTCGAGCGTTGTCGGGTGACATTTGTCCCCCAGTTTACGATGGGACAAAGGGAAGGCAAGCCACTTAAAGACAGCTCCCGCGATAAAAGTGTCATGGATAGTTGCTGTTCAATTATGAAACAGTAGCTCATAAGTAATTCCCCGAAGAAGAAAAAAAAACAAGAGAGTCCTCAAGAACACTACAAACAAAATCGCTCATTGGCAGTCACACCTTCCTGCGGTCTCTGTGCAACCCCTGGCTCACAAATTCCTTTATCACATCTCCCAGTAGTGGGTGTCATCCAATGCAATAAAAAGAATACGAAAAGCAACAACACGAAAGAAAAAGCACATTACAAAAAAGCAGAAAATTTCGCAAAACTTGGACGTCCGAATCTTGGCCGCGGTTGGTTTTTGCGGCTTTTGGTGCATGTCGAGCTTTTGCACCACAAAAATTGTAACACTCACGATTTTACGCGTTTTACCTTGCAATCTGGCTTGCAGTTGCTGCATGCTGCTCTTAACTGAATAAATGTAATGAAGGAGCGCAGAATTAAATTTATGGGACAGCAGCAAAGAAGGCATGCAATTCCTATTATGCCCGCCGCCCCCAACAAAGAACAACTGAGACCCTCCGTGAGAGGGCATCTAGCAAGTGGGCGGTCCAACTGGGCGGGCGTTAGAAACTAGAAATTTCAGCAGCTGTAGCTCGCTTCGCGCTCACTGTGGAGTCGCGCGGGAGTGGGATAGTCTCTAGCTTAGGGGCTGGACTACTTGCACAAGGAAGGACGACCATGCGCTACTTGAGCGCGGGGGCGTGTCCTCAAAGGTAGTTGGCACGATAAATCCAAAACGAGTAGGATTGTACGAGTGGTCAGGGCGGGGTTTCCGCGCCTGAAGTAGCGCCGCATAGTGTTCCTACGACGGAGTACCGGCTTGGGTTCCTATCAATGAGTAGCGACACTCCGACAGCGAAGACGCCCGCTACGCCGCCCGCCCCACAAAGGACGACCTTACCGAGATGCTGCGTTCTGCCTCATTTTACCGTATCCACGCGTTATTTGGCAATAACGCTAGCGGGAAACTCATCCGAAGCTGCTTCTCAAACGAAGGCTTTTCTTGCAGTTTTGACTATTTCACTTCATTTTTTCGCCATTTTACCACTAGATAGCGCCCTGCTAGCATTTTAGGCTGAGTACCAAATAAGCGTGCCGACTGCCTCTAAAGAAAAGAAGGATGCGGAACAACTAGCTCCGGTCTAGCACGGCTTCTGTGGGAGACGGTCAGGTCAGATTGCGTGAGAAAACTTCATTCCCTTGAGGCCATGAGTACAATAGGTGTGGATACAAGATTAATCCAATATTCAGCTCTGTAGTCACTTGTGCTTTGACGGTTCTGGCTGGCAATCACCGTAGCCGAGCGTCGATCGAGCCTCGCTGTAATACTTGACAGGGAAACCGACTTTTTTTTATGAGAATACAATATACAGGGGGGCCAAAAAAAGTCATTTTGCCTCCATGACTTTCAAGGCGCTATAAGTTACACTTTATTAAATTTTTATCGGACATTTTTACTACCATATTAAGAGCACATTAAATACTATAACGATACTCGCCACAGCCTTCTGGAGGAGCGCCATCGAGAGATTCGGCCGCGCGAAAGTGAGTGGGTACCGGAGTTGAGCGAGATCGTTGATTTCTCCGCCACTG